ATAAACGTCGCTGTCCCCAGTCAAGTAAACGCAGACTCCCATGCTCCACCTATCCCGAGCCGGCGGTGGGAAGCACTGTGCATAAACGTCAAGGAGTAAGAAAGAAGAATTTGGACAGATTTCATTAACATGGGAAGACTACCATACATACGCTGTCACTGCAACCAAAAGTGCACTGCTGATGTGACAAAGAAGTACCACATCAGCATTATGCCTTTATGGTACGCCATCAATGCGCGTGGTTCTGAAGCATTCGCCCACGGGGCCGTCTGAGACCGCACTTAGCTTCGGGCTTACTTATAGTAGCTGATAAGCTCCCAGTAACCGCCAAAAATCAGGTATCCCTGCAAACCGCTGCCATGGAGGAGGTTCACTCTCCAAAGGATTTTGGTAATGGCCTGCCAAAGATCAAAAACCCGAGCAGTTCCAAGCTGAACAAAAGACTGCATACACCAAGAGCAACCACATCCACCCCAAGCTCTGGAGACACGTCAACGACAGCAACCAGTAGGCAACATAACGAGTGGGTGAGGGTAGAGAAAAAAGGTGGAACTATCCGTGTAAACGCACCCATGGGACCAGATAATGCTGGCGTTGCCGACAGATCTAGCCCCATCATTCCATTCAATTTTCCTGTCTGCAATGACAGCCTTCTGCGGCATAAGTACACTTGTGACAGGTAGCTGTAGAACTCCCTTTGTGTCTTACTGGGCTGGGCACCCTCAAGACAAAGCTGTGTCGTCTGTGTAAAGGCACCATTTCACCCCCAGAGAAGCCTTCCCAATGAGACCAACTCTAGGCTCAACCAGAGGCACCGAAAGGTCCCTCTCACTGTCACACACCTGGCCATCAACAGGTCGTCCAGCACTAAAGCCAGAACCATCCGACCATGGGTGTTGGGAAAGATGTCTCGAGAAGCAGCCATTCCATTAAAACCCACATCCATGGTCATACATGGAACACCTGAACTGGCGACCGGTACCACAGGTGATAAGTACACCCATAAAGTCCAAAAATGGAAGTGGTTATCAGCTCGGATGGCGCTAAGTGAGGTTGCAGAAGTGGCAATTGGCAGACTGACACTCCTGTCACATCTGACAACCATGACCTTACCCAGACTGATGGCTGTCAACTTCTAGTCCCCAGAAGTTCTTGCCAGAGTGCCAGGGACGTGGTGTAAAGTCAGGAGCACCATACGCTGGAATGTTCGCTGCTGTGGAAGCAGACCAAGAGCACTGTGACAACAACGAACAGCAGTTACTTCAGTGCTTGGGCCACCACAACCCTAAACCAACACGTTGAGGGTCAGACTGGCAAACTTCACCTACCACCAAATACACCAATGAACACTGGAAAAAATTTTACCGGGCTGATTCAATTGGAACTGGTCTGTCAGTAAAAATCCTCACATCCAAGCCTGTATCATAAGTTAACTCAGAGATATCTCACGTTACGAGGATCACTTCAGAGTGTCTTCACAGCAACGTGGTAGGACCCCAAAGGGCTACGATCGCCCTGTTCCGACCTTGTCTCGAAAATCATAATCCTGACGGAAACATGGTTACCGCCGGGCATCAGTGAAAACAAGGTTAATGTAGATGACGCGTCTTTATCCGGGGGAAACAGTGAAAACAAGGACGAAAGGGGCCTGCACTATACGTGAACGGTTGGTTCAAAAGTGAACAAACAGTGACACTGTATTGACAGAGCTCCCAGTCTCTATCTGGCGCCACTTCACTGCCAAATACACTAAGTACCTAGTTGGAGGAATCTATAAGTTCCCTGATAGCAACTTGGAACACAACCAAAAACTACTCCAGGTGATATTCGCGGTCTCGATTATGGAGTACGGCCGGATCCTAACAGCTGGCGACTTTAACACTCCAACTCAGCCTAGAGCAAGGTGACACAACTCCGAGCCGAAAGTTCGATTGTGACCTGATAAATTCTATCCAAGTAGCTGGAGTGTACGAAAAAATTGGCGACAGCACTTGCTATCGGTCAGAGGTCAAACCATCTAAACTGGATTACCTACTAGCTAGTGATCATCCGGTTGAAAACGTCAAGGTCCGAACTTTTTTGGAGGCGGCGATCATGGTAATCGGTGAACACATCTTGGGGGAACTCGCACTCACCTTTGTTACAACAGGGAAGCTGCGAAGGAATGAATCAATGTCTATCGAGAGCTCTGTGGCTGGTGGATTGGTGCACCTAATCGGTTGACCGGGAGTGGGAACTGACATGAGACATCGTTCGGGTGGCGATCTCGCGAAACGTCCCCTTGGTGATAACGAAACCCAGAAAGTGGAGCTCGTGGCTAAAACAAAGCACTGAGCGTTCCCTAAAAGCCAGGAGAAAGGCATGGAATAAATGGAGTCTTTCCGGAGAAGAGGACGATCACGACGTGCATATAGGCCTACGAAATCGATGCAACATCAGGGTACGGAGGGACAGGAGGTTGTTCCAGTTCAACCCGCCAAGAAGCTTGGGGCAAACTTCAAAACCTACACCAATTCATGGCAAAGAGAAAACCGACAGGCCAAGGAGCATGAATCATAAAAGGTTCAGACGGAGAAAACCTCTCTAGACGAAACGCCGCCAAAATGTTAAGCACCACATTTGATACAGCTCAACATTCCATCAGAGAAGTACGCATACCTGCTGTTCGAAAAGCTCTCATGTTATCCAACGCGGCGGAATCATACGAAGTACTGAAAACTCGTACTGTTGCTCTCGATAAGCTATCAAAGCCGAGTGCAGGAAAATCACCAAAGTACGGGGACATTCGCCCATCCGTGTTGAAGGGATGTATGAGTACCCTGGGTGGCCTACCCTACAATCTCTTCCAACACTCCTCAGACGAACAAAAGCTCCTGCTAGAATGGAAATAGGCCATCCTCTCTTCTATCTCAAGAGGAGTAGGCAGGCAGAATCCAAACTGTTACAGACCCACAGCACTTCTGCCAGTAATACCAAAAGTTATGGAAAGTGTGATAGACGACCGCATCAGGGGATGTCTGGACACGAAGGAAGCATTCAGCGATGCTCAACATGGCCTTCGAAAGTGTAAGTCCCGTGCCTCCAACCTTCTGATGGCCCACGATCACTGGACAGCTGGGATCTCAAGATCCCGGTCCACGTGATTTTTCTGGATTTCACCAAAGCCTTTGACACTACCTTGCACATCATCCCAGTACACAAAATAGCCGGGTCAGGTGCTATTGTGGCTGCAGAACTACTTAGACAGTACGGAGTTCCTCATGAAAGTCAACAGGGTCTGCCCAACTCGAAGAACGTCGCCGTCCAGTGTCTCACATGGAGCAATCCCGGGTCCGCTGTTGTTCCCACTGTTCGTGACAGGCCTCCCACTACATATCACCTCTCTGATTCTCCTCTACGCTAATGATGTCAAGTTGTGGAGGGCAGTGACTTGCAAAGCGGAATCCAGAGCATTACAGAACGACCTCAAAACACTAGCGGAATGGCCAACAAATACCGAACTGGCATTTAATCTGGACAAGTGCCGGTCCATGTTTTTCCGCACTCCTGATCCACAGAAAGTATCGCGCTCTCTCTATGGTGACGTCTATCACATGCTGCATCAGAAAAAGACCTGGGTGTAGAGTTGACGGAGAAACTGCACACCAGTTCTGATGCCCCAAAAGCATGCGCTGTGCTACACCTTGTGCCTAGACGACTAAGTGCCCTCAGCCCAGAGCTCTTCCTTATGCCCAGCAGGACTCGCATACTACCCCACTTGGAGGTTTATAACGCCTTTCGCTCCACCACAACTGAAAGGGCACGAATCCACTGGAGAAAGTTCAGAGGCGAGACAGAAGTGGGGTTGCTGGGATGCAACAAAAACCGTATGAGGGTAGACTAAAAGACCTAGGTTTACGCTGTCTTAGCTACCAAAGGTTACGAGTTGACTTGATAATGGCTTGCGAAGTACTGAACAACCCAAGTCAGCTGAACAGAAAATTATTACCTAGTGACCAGCGTGGTAATCGTCGTGGAAACGCTTAGAGAGTTAACCACAAAAGGTCAAAGACTCATGTGCCTTCACACTTCTTCTCCCTTTCAGTCTACGGGCACTGGAATGTATTGCCGGCAGTAACAGCCTCCGCTCTATCTGCTGAAAGCTTCAAGAAAAGGCTGGACAGTCGCGCAGGGACCCGTGGCCTACCCACATGTAGCTGGAATATGAACCAAACAGAAGAAATCAACTTCTGTCATACCATTCCAACCATGTTAACCCTATACCAGTTTTCTTGCTACTGTAATCCCTTAACTCGTTTTCACCCCTTTCACTTGCTATGAGTTAGCCTCACCTACCTAAGTTCTTCACACCTTTGCTGCCTACCTCGCCTCACTTGGGTGTAAGTAGATCACCCCATCATTTTACTTCTCTTTGCCTTTTGTTCACACAAATCCGCCTTTCTAGGTATTCTGTTCCTTATCCCTAACTCCCTCTAACTACCAGTTGGAACAAATGTCTGGCGACTCGACATCTGAAGAAGCCAACTGCACCACAGTCCAAGGTAAACTAACCAACAATTAACCTCCTGTTCTGCATACCAGGGCTATAACAGACGAGTGGTTGGATCTACTTCGTCGGAATCCGCCAAAGACCTGGAACCGTTACACGAGAGAGAGAAGCGAGAGAGAAGAAACTGACTGGCTTACACAGGCTCACTAAACAGATATTGGATTTATTTGCTCGACAAGCAAATAAAATACCTTCAAGTAGACAATCACTACCTCCAAAGCTATAAGCAGGAAGACGTATGGACTTCTGCCACCATCGAAGGAGTACTACCTACCAAACAAAAAGAACCAAGCCTCAAGACCTAGAAGCGAGAGCTCAAAAACTATAAGTTTCCTCCACTCGCACTACTGATGTTGGGTGTTGAAGCAAGTTCAAGGTCGTTTGTTGGTCATTTCCAAATGATGTTTTTCCACTACAAACCGTTTCGCGTTAGGAATTTCTAAGACCTCAAATGCTTGGATCTCTCAACATGTGGAATCTCGGTATTGTATTGTCAACAAAATTAGTACATGGCTGCAAATTTCAGCAACCCTTCAGAACAAGTATTTATCAGTTCGCTCTCCAACCCAAGATGATAAGTCCTAATGAAGATTTAGACGGAAATGATCCTCGTCTTGTTAAACCCGTGGCTCCAGCAGAAAAATGGGAACATACAGGGTCAAATTACGACAAGCTGGTTTCAAGAATTGTGGGGATGATGACCATAAGAGGAGAAAGAGAAGTGGCAAGAAATGCGATGCGTATGACATTCAGGGAAATAAAATTGATACAGGTACTTCTTCATTGTTTGCATGTGGACTCTTATTAAACTGTAGATACGAAGGAACAAAAGTACTTCAAATCTTTCGGGAGATGAAAATACGGTTAAGAATCCCATTGTTGTTATTCATGAAGCGGTCAAAAACTGCACGCCTTTGCTAATGTTACATTCAGTACCACGTGGTGGCGTTCTCTACAAGGTATTGACTGAAGCCTAGGCATATGAATATGTTGTTTTCTTATCGTAGTCTCATATGTCTAGAGTTACTAAGCGTCTTATTTTGTGAGGTATTCAATAGTCTGAGAAATGTCAGATTCAGGTATATTATTAGATCTTAAGGATAGGGAAATCGGTATGCTATTGATGTTTATGGCAAACTTGTCGAACATAAAACACCCGTTTTAAAGTCAAAATTACAACTTGATCTGTGTGTATTATTGAGTAATTAATATATTTATGTACGATAGATAGATGTAGGGCATTCGGATGCAGACAAAATAATGTGTAAGTTCGAATTTTCACGAAAGCAGAATGAACTAAAGTTACTGCAATAAATAAGTGTCAACGAAGGGGAGACTTACGTTATTTTACAAATTTTATACAAGTTCTTTTTGAAAATAGATACTACAGTAGCTTCATTCCTGTTTCATCAGGCATTCTCAGTTTTTCACACCGGGTTCTTTGATTAGTCCCACATACATCCTTGTTTAAAACCCTAAGATATTATCTCAACTGACAGTCATATTGATTGGCTTCTTTGAAGATTTTCAGTAGTTATACCATCAACCTTGCTTAACCATCCGATGAAACTAGGCTTTTATTACCGGTTAATCGGATCAGCTAAAACGGAATACGGAAAAAATAGGATACAGATGCAAACTACCTAGTGTACATTTATTATGGTTTAGTTTGCGTTACAAATCTGAACGTCAACATTGGAAGTGTTTAGTTTCGGAAAGAACCTTATAGATGTTACATCACAAATGCCAGTAGTGCAACTGCTTTGGGGTCAGAAATTATCTAATACTTCACTTTTGCAAATTAATCGCCATTCAGCTGACATTCATGACGTATCCATTTTCCTTTTTCTGCTTTATTAACACTTTTTCCGCCAACAAGTTGGAGACTGTTTGGGATTTGCTGACTTGCATCATCTCTGGCGCTGACTGACAAGATATCCGAGTATCTACCAAAGGTTAAGTATGCTGCGCTGCAGTTCGTCCTATCATGTCATATGACTGCGAAACATGACCGTTAAAAGTAGAAAACATGAAGCGGTTATAGGGTCTTGGCCGCAGGAATCTTCGTAGCATTGCTCGCGTTAGGCGGGATCACTGTGTGGGTAAAGTTGAGGTCACGTAAAGGGTACTAGGCAAGGTAGGAAAGTCGGTTGGTGATATTGTGAAGTTTAGTCGACTGAGACGGCTCGGACATATGTTGCACATGACACCAGTCGATGTGGACGGCCTTATCGGGTTCCTAGGAGCGAAGGACTGTTGGTAACATTGCTGCAAGCTGGTCGAAGTGGTTCAGGTGTATTGAATTTTTGACGTTATCTAACGCTTGAGTATTTGCCCTTACCGCCATCCTCAAATTACTCATTCGCTCGTACAACTTTGTCTATTTGATAGCAGTCTTTTCCATCCAGGTATTTTTTGCATACTACTGTGAAGTGCAGCAATGCGAGGCGATGTGCTTGTGTGGGAGGTTCTGGGTTGGTTTTATCTGACTGCTGTCTATCTGGAGACTAAAGTATGGTTGAGTGGAGCTAGTTTTACTGAACTATTCTTTGCATGACTTCCTGTTGTTTTTACATCTGAACTTCAGCATTTACCTACTGTCTATTGAGATTGAATTTGATTTAACACCGTTGATAGTTTGTGTTTTTTGCTCTCCTAATGTTTCGGCATTCGCTTCAGTCGGAATGTGTTTTTAGTTGTCATCCAACACAGTAATATGTTGTTATTGTTTATCACTGGTTAGTTTGTACAAGTAAAGTATATTTGGTTGTGTTGACTATTGTCAATAAATTGTAATTATATGATAATCTACCAAAATCTATTATAACTGTTGGTATGCTTTTCTGAATCGTCCAACTTTTGTAGGTCCCAACTCCTCCGGTGTCGGAGTCAGTTGCTATACATACCGCAGTGAAATTCATTTTGGAAGCAGCAAGAGATAAACCACGTACACAACGTATATGGATATCTTTGGGGAATGAGTTTATAGCAGCCTCGGAAAACCAAGGAATGGCTGTGAAACGGAAAGTTGAACTGCATAAACGTTGTCAAGAAAATCGTGCATATGCAAATTTAGAAGATACTAGGTTTTTGTTGATATTTCCCTACGTTAGTCTTGCACTTGTAAATAAACGTCATAAACTGAAATAAATATTTTCCTTTTTTCAGCATTTATTTTCTATTTTCATAACAAATTGATCTATAAATCCACTTCACTGTATGTTCATGGTGATCATGCTTATATGTGTAAGTAGTCTTCCCTTTTTGATTAAAACAGTTAGGTGCAGACTGTACATTGAGTTACTTGTGAATTTCTGGCGGAGACTTGAGTATCAATGTTTATTTAACTTAATAACTTGCTCACTGCAAATGTACTTACCAACTCATGTATTTGCGGTAGCTAGTACGTATAAATAGTAGAGAGGTGGTTGTCTATCAGGATTGCTAAGCACATGCCAAAGGGTCTACGTCTCAGAGGTGCATTTTCGTTCAACTGTGCAATAGCTCGTCACTTACGTGATGCTGGACATCAAGTAGGTGCGATGAAATCTTTCATGGTATTCAATAAACAAAATACCTCTCGCCTACTTGGAATTGCCGAAGCCGTCAGTTTTTCTGACGAGTTCAACTGAAACTATGTGTTCAGAAGGAGACAGTTATCAGTTTATTATCGCGTTGGTAATTAGTGACTTTTCACATTCTCATCTATCCCAAAATATTTCCGCTACATTTATTTTGTGCCTATTTATGTTGATTATCATTTCATTATTACGATAATTTTATTTCGCTCATCGTTTTCCCATAATTACGCAACCCCTTCTGCTTACCTCTATTCTTATTTCATTCGTGAACATTCCTCACCTTGCCATATACAACTCTTAAGTAGTTTGACTAAGTTTATTACTTGAACGTCCGTGGCGTCCTGAATTACTATATTCTCATGTTCTTTAAAACATTAACCGTTATCTTCAAACGCTGCTATGAAATTAAACACCAACTTTTTCATATCATAACCATCTGTCACAGACTTACTTTCTAAGAAAGTTTGCTTAGGTGAGTCGTTGATGTAAGTCTTTCATATTCAAAGTTCACTGGTGAATATTTGAGTGAATTGAATGGACAGTAAAACTTGGAAACACTAGGTGGAAAATATGTGCGGAAATTGAGGTCTGATTTAGGATGTCACGGAGCTGTAAAATGTTTTATGAAAAGAGGTTCTTAGGTAATTGCTGAGTTGCCAAGTCAACTCAACTAGTTGTAATCTGCTTGGTAACTAGCAGTGTAATCTACACTATTATCTTGGCCGTTTCATACCTTAACCACCTTATGGTGTCATAACCACTCCATTTCTGCTCTTATGGTAAATTCATATCATTCTTTGTACTAATCGTTCACTCGACACAATGTAACCGTGAACTTCATTATTAATTTTCCTTCCCTATGCTAGATGCAATCACTACGTTTGGTCACCAATCGATTGGTAAAGTTTACACTCAGCTTATCACCGCAATCGACATACATATATAAATTAAACTACCTTCCAGTTGTAATTGTAATTTCATTCATCAGGGGCTGGCATCAGTTGGAGAATCTGAGGGCACTTGATAGCTGTTTCGTCCTAGTATGAGACTCAGCAATGTGCACCTACGATCCCACCAAGGATCGAACCCGGTGGCCTACCTCAGTATGGATCTCCGGTACTCTAATGAGAAGCCGTGACTTGGGGGTGGGGGGGGGGAGGTGGTCAGCCAATTCGGAAGGGAAGCGAATGGTCACGCTGTATCGCAAATTGACAGAAGTAGGAGAGTGTATGCGACTGAACTCCAACCTAGTGACTGAATGGTAGCGTGCTCACCGTAAGACTGAAGGTTCTGGCTTCGATCCTTGGTGGGGCTTTGAGTGCGCACTGCTGATGATGAAACATCTGTCTAGTACTACCAGGTTTTCATTGATTATCTGACTGATGTCACTTCGTGATGAATATTATCTTGAAACCTTGATTATGCCTGAATGACTATTTTTATTGTCTAAATACTTTATGAAATAAATTAATTTGTGCTGCAATTTCTGGTAACTTCCTATGCATTCAATTAAATTTTGTGGGTCTCATCAAAGTAAAGGACTGTATACACCTCCTACGTGGGATATTTTTATCGTGAGAACTGGGCTTTAACAATGCTTGGGGTTTGACACGTCATTTGAAATACTAGAGAAGTCGAGTAACTCACACTAGTTGGTTGTATAAGAATTCAACTCCTCAGATTTTGTGTGGATGAAGTATTCTGGGTTTGTCGTAAACTAAAATTAATAAACTTGTTCGAACCAACTTTTGTTTTCGTGCGAATGCCGATTTTATTTCAGCATTCAATTTAAGATGTATGGTGTTTTGCTACTGTTTAACCCTAATACGTTATTTATTACTTTATTTCTAGGTAAAAGAGATGTGGGAGATACTGACAGTAGCCTAACAATACTATTCAAAATGCTGCTGAGTAGGAATTTACATCTACCATTTTCTTACTGGTTAGATTTGTTGAACTTTAGGTCTCTTAGGTATGCGGATCAGTGCCATCGTCTTGTAAGCACACATAAACATGCAGATAGTAATCAGATATCGAAAGATCAAAGCGTTGATTCTTGTATTGCAGCAATACGAAATGTTGGCTTGGTTGCACATATTGATGCTGGCAAAACAACGACCACAGAACGTATGCTATACTATGCTCGTAAGTTATCGATTATTTGTCTATGAATATATTTATTTCAGTAGCACTATATCACATTGATTGATGTTTAATACTGTTATCAGTTGTTTCAGTCAAGCGCTTGTGGTTTTCATCTTGTTTTGTAGGCATACTGTTAAACTCATTTCTTACGGGTGTTATTCAAAAACTCAATGAATCTGCTTCTGTCACTTTAAATGTCTTCCCTCATTGGGTTAATATTTCAGATTCACTAGCACAGCATCATCATTACCTTTCTTTAGACAGATGAGAGTACTGTAGTATTTTGGTATTTTGAGGTAGCCGTGGTTTTTCAGACTTGCACTGATACTGAGTGATGACTGACAGAATTCGTTGAGTCCTGTCGCGACCCAGATTTTCATTTCACCCTCAGTCATCACCCAGTATTACTAAATAGTCGAGTGTAGGGGTAGTAACTACGTACAAAAATGATATCTATGCTGCCGTAGAACAATTATGTATCACAATTCATGTTGCTAATTACTGGAGCTCTCTAAATATGAGAAATTCGCTAAGTTGCGCTATCGGTAAGCTAACGTCGTTCAGTATTGAGAGCTGCTGCAAAATGAAGCAAATATTGTAAAGCATCACCGGTATCCAGCGGAAATGTTATATGTCGTAAATATGTTTTCACTATTCATCCAGGTAGACATGTAATATCTTCTCTGAGAATAGGGCATCATCATTTACCAGTACGTAGGCACTTATAGAAGGTATAGCATACTTGTTAACCATTTTATGAAATGCTAACTCTCTGTATCCCCAATGAAAGCTGCTGCCTTGGTGTGGTGGTCGCATTTGCATATCACAATAACCTAGAGAGCTATACTGGTGCGAACATTCGCTTACTCACACTCTATTACACCGGAAAGGTCTGTCGAAGATAAAAAGCAGTTACCGCTATGGCGTAAATAACCGCGTTATGGTGCGGTGTCCGAAGGCGAAGTTGTGCTGCTGGCTGGACAGATAACGGCAGTAAGGCGTTTCTTTTGGATGACCAGAAGTCAATGTTGATGCCACCTTCCCTGTAGGAATATGGTATGGGAGAGGTCGAACCCAAAGTAGGGCACTGTTTACTGCCCTGCAGTCGCCCGAAGATTAAAACATGGCGGTTTTGGCTGAATTCACAATAAACAAACTTAAACATCAAGCTTCTGTTGCGGAAATGTGTGACTGACCTCGGGCAAATGTCTCTTCAGCCTTGTGGTCACACAAATCTAATGCACTTTCTCTTTCATGTAACTCATAGAAATAACTTTCATGGTGTGCGCAGTGTATTTAGGAAGGAGATGATTGAGCATCTATGTAAGCATATCTGATTTATTTCTTGATGAAGTCCGGTGTAAAACTCACTCCTGTAGAAAAGCGATAATGACAGCTGGCAACCTACAACCATAGGTTAGGGAAAGCTAGTGAATTTCCTCAATTTCATTTGAACTGATGGATTTGGTAAGACCCACTCCTGTGGGACTGACAAGGAAGAGGGGTTTTGATAATGACACCAGTTAATAAAGCATTCCCATCCATCAATTTCAATAATAAGTGTGAGTCTACACAGGGTCAAAGCTAAGCAGCTGGTAGAGCCGTAATGAAGATGCAGCAGAACGCAATGAATGAGGTTATTCAGCACTACATTGCAAACTACTCATGTCTTTTCAGTAGTTAAGTTTTGAAGGGAATATGGAGAAACGCTTTTGAGGAGTGAGGAATTGCTTCAGTTATAAGAAATGTTTGACTTCCAGAAAGCTTTTTCTACAGGAATATGGATCTCATTATCCGCTTGCAGAATAACAGCCTCTCAGTATTCAAGGAAATTCAGCTTTTGTAATCGAACCGATGATTCATCGTATGTGTTTTATGAATGCAATCCCGGCGTAGAATAAAGGATAAGGATATAAGGAAATATTTTGTAGTATTCCTCAAGGTTTCGGTCTTGCTAGGAAGATCCTTTTCAAGAGTTTCGTTGCTTATCATTGCTTTTTTCTTAGAATTTAAATCAATGGAAGTTGGTTCAGATATGAAAGCGTACATTGGCTCATTCAGCGATGGTTCAGGATCGCAAATCTATGATGAATTATTTTTGTGGAGCTTTTAAGGAGAGGACACGAGCGGAAGATACGCCGAAACTGTTCAGTTTATGGTTTTCATATATGTTTACGTGGACGACCATATGGAACTCCTTGTTTCATCTTCGGTTGTCTATCGGGGCTGGTTGAAAACTAAGATGGCTGATAACGCTCGCCAGTTCTGTAATTGCTATCAGAAGCAGAGAAGCATTCTAACTCCTGGACATTTCAGAACTACAAAAGGACTACTATAGAACCATTACAATGTCATTCTTACACTTGACCAAGGCTCAAGTGTTGTGATCATGAATAAAATCGAATATGAATGTAACATGTCTTCCATTCTTGAGGGTGAAAATAAATTTGCGGAAGATTGCACTTTAGAAGACCATACAATTGTTTCAGGGAACAATGACCTGTAATCTGGTGAGACTGATAAGTATGAACACTAGCTAAATCAGTTTGATTCATTCAAACCACTTGAATTGCACTTCCCACATGTTTGTTGTTTTTCCAAAGTACATAAACTTGACAACCCGTTACGTCCTATATTGTCAATGTACAGATCACCGAGACAGCTGATGACTTACAACTAAAGGCTGGTGAAAGCTAGTGTTTTACCGCAACCTCATTTGAACTGATTGATACGAGAAAACCCATTCCCGCTTGCTCTGACTAAAATATAGAGTGAAGGCAGCTTAAACGGAAGTTGAAGAGGAGTCGTAGCAATTATGGCAAGCACCGGTGGGCGACCAAGGCTATGGAAATGGATAAATTATCAGCATCATATAGTATTCGGTAAGTATCTAGGGTTACTATGGATACTGAAAAGATGAAAGCGAGATCGTCACTTAGGGGGATAATTCAGGAGCGGTGGATCACGCGTTGTCGGGAACATTTTGAGGAACTGTTCAAAAGACTTACAATCACACTGTAATCGCCCTAGATTCTCCCAAACTTTGTAGCTGCATTGATGTTGATCCTACAACTTTCTTTGAACTTAAAGCTATTTCAAGCCTGATTCGTTGCACACCAGCAGGAACTGACAGTTCCCCAGAGTTTTTTTGATGCAGATGGAGGCTTATTCTATGAAGCAACGGGGATACTAGCTAGTGTTTTAGAGTCAGAAACAGTTGCTGCAGATTAGTTTAAATTGTTGGTCCTTCCAGTCTATAAGAAGAGAGAAAAGTCTTCGTGTGACAGTCCCGGCTAAATCAGTTTGACTAACACGGTGTCCAAGATCCTAGGGTCTGTTATCCGGCGCTTACCGCGGGCTCGAGGACAGCAAGGTGGAGCAACAAGGCAGGTTTCAGACTTAAACGAGTGCACATGAATCATATCTTCAACCGTCGTCAGCTTATGGAACTCAGACCTACTTATCGGTGGCCGACACTTGCAATATTTCATGACCTGAAGGTGATATTTGATTCTGCCACCCGTTATGTGTTGTAGCAGCCTTTGATGCTGACGGAAGTACGGAGTAATCCTGTGTTTTTTTGTCATAGCTGTCTATTTGAACTCATGCAACCATGTAAGTTTTTTGAAGAGTTTGTGTATGATTTATCGAAGACCAATGATGTCCGCCAATGAACCCTACTGTCAATTTTGTCCTTAATTTTTGTTATACACGTTTTAGTGGATATAACCCTCAACTCGAGGGTCGATTTACTCCCAGAAGCGCATCTGGCTGACACACATAGACATACACTGGCCATATAGTTCTGTTAGACGAGTGCGCTGAAAAATTAGTCTTCTAAACGCTTTGAGCAGCAATCTGAGTATCCTTAGCATGTGTTTTTTACCTGTCGAATGTAGAGGATGATGCTCCAGGTCTGGCATACAGCGACTCCCAATTTAAAGACAAGAAGTAAAGGTGTTAAGTACGCCGACAACCTTATTTGGGAAGTTGCATCATCCAGAATGGGTCGGTTGTTGACAAAAACCTCAGTTGAGACACCGAATACCTGTTTGACATTTTCCAACTTCCGCCACTTACGGTGTTGGTGAGATATGACCTCCTCTTAAAGGTTGAGTATTCTACACTGAATTCCGCTCAGTACTATTATAGAGCTGTGAAACACGGCCACTGAAAGTAGATGCTAAGTAATCACAGTTTTCTTCGTGGCGTCTCTGGAGTGCTGCGAAATCACATTGTTAACAATGGTGAGGTTAGGCACAGGTTACTAGCAAAGAAGGCAAGTTATCCGGTTAAGTTGTGAACTTACAACGACTGAGGTGGATTGGATTGTAAGAAGGCTAAGAGTGCTCAGGTGAAGACGTGATACCTGTCCATGTAGCCTTCGACTATTGGTCTGAGTCATATTGAGAGGTCCTCGATATTATTAGAATTAATGGCTAGAAACTCCTGGCGATATAACTTGAAATCGGTCACAGCAGAGCAGATGTATACACTTTTTGTCATTTTCAAAATTATAAACCCTTTGTTAACCTTGATCGTTTTGTTTTTCCTCAAACACATTTGGGAACCTGAATATCACTGTTTCTATAAACTTCCTTGCATGCTGCTGTGAAGTGGGCAGCTTGAAACGGAGCTCCTCTGCACTTATTTTAAAGGGGAGTCATTAAGAATAGTATAATAACTCCTCTACTCATTTTCATCAAGTCTATCCTTTAGGGAGACTGACTTTATGCTCATTCTGAAGTAGGTAAATGTTTTGAAATACTGACGTTATAGTTTTTAGAAAACCTACATTACAAGGTGTGCGGAAATATTAGTGGTATGAAAGTCTGTCACACTATTATTTTGAATGATTCTTCCAATCAAATCTAGTGCTTATTGCTATGAATTTCTTTATATTTCCCCCTTTATGACAGACATTCGTTTAAGAAATGTGCAGTGAATGCTATTCCGTGCTGAGTTTCCGGAATTCAGTGTCTTTTACTCTGTTCGATATAATTAAACTCGCACTGGTTATCACTTTCGCCACGCATTGTACACGTGATGAAGGCAGATGCAAACATTACTTGCTTTTTGAATAGTTTAAACGTTAACATCTTTTGTTGAGTTGTTTGTAACATCATTATTACCATTTGCCTCTTGGGCTCCTAGTGGAACATAGGGCTTCAGTAGCACGTCGCTATTGTTCTCTGTTCTCTGCAGTCTTCAAAGCCTGGCTCTGCGACTACCCACAAGCTTTCATTTCTTCTTCACACCATCTCCATGTCACCCTCACCTCGGACACTCAACTCGTCGTTTCCCATGCGGGTTCCACTCGCGAACCTGGCTTGGTCTGGGGCGTGATGTCCCCAATCGGTCTTCTCAGTGTATGCACAATCCAATCCAATCGAATCCATCTCCACTTTCTTCTGAATATTTGTTTGGCTATGGTTCTTGCTTCGTTGGTTCGTTGCTGGCCAGCCAGCCAGCCAGCCAGCCAGCCAGCCAGCCAGCCAGCCAGCCAGCCAGCCAGCCAGCCAGCCAGCCAGCCAGCCAGCCAGCCAGCCAGCCAGCCAGCCAGCCAGCCAGCCAGCCAGCCAGCCAGCCAGCCAGCCAGCCAGCCAGCCAGCCAGCCAGCCAGCCAGCTTATTCTTTCTGGCCATCCATCTGATCTTCAGTATCGAATGAGTGGGCGAGTGAGCGTAGGCGGCAGCTGTTGATGACGTATGTCTGTAGTTTGTTGGAGATGCTTTTCGTGACGCGCCAAGGTTCTCAACCATCATATAGAAGCACTGACTTACTTGACTGAAAATCCGGATGTTGTTCACGCTTTATGCTGAGTGGAGCGGAGTAGAGTGCAGTAGATCTCCACACTGATTTCAGGTTAATGCGGGAAGGCCTGTCTTGGTGTCTTTCCGATCCTGGATGGCTTTGACGTCCTCATCTGTGCCACTGCCACATGTAGTTGAAACGATGCTACCTGCCAAGGTAGGTGAAAGATAACTTCCTTTAGGTTTCTTCCGTTGTCGGTGATTGGTGCTTGCTGTTGTTGTTGGTTGGTCAGGTATCTTCATCACCCGTGTCTTCTCTACGTCCACTTGAAGGTTGTCCCGTCTTCCGTCGCCGCCTCTTCTGCTAACTTGTTAGTTTTTGCCTGTAGATCTTCGAGTTTGTGCGACAAGACAGACGTAAATCATGATCGGTGAAATCCAAATCTTCTTCCGGGGTCTTTACATTGGTCCAGCCAGCGTATGCCCATCTCGCAGCTCCTCACAGTTCTTTGCATGACCCAGCGTAGTTCACAATGAGGAAGATCATCGGTGATGGTAGGCGGCAACCTTGTTTCTCCTGTCTTCACTTCAAAGATGCCTCTGAGCTTCCCATTGTGAATCACTTGGCATGTAGCATCATACCAGTATGTAGCTGTTGAATGAGGTTGATAAACGTTTGTGGCACTGGAATCGTAGTGTTGAGGCAGCTGCCTGCCAAATTACTTCTCGGTCGACGCTGTCGAACGCCTTTTCAAAATTGATAAAGTTGAGGTAGAGATCCAGTTAACTGCCATTCTATTCTCTGTTCTATGATGATGCGTAGTGTAGCGTTACAATTTGATCCGCACATCATTTCTACTTCCTGAAGCCAGCCAGCCTGTTCTGGTCGTAATGTTGAATCCAGCGCATCTTTTAGTCTCTCCAAGATGATGTGGCTTACTATTTTGCTTTGGGTGGACAGCAGCATGATTCCACGCCAGTTCTTGCAAAGACTTAGGTCGCCCTTCTTTGGGGTTTGACAAGGTAGTCCTTCTTCCACTCAATCAACAGGTACCTTTCCTTCCCTCCTTCCAAACCTTCTGCAATCGTGGTGTCAGCATGTCCGCTGCTGTTGTCTCTGCGTCTGTTTTCAGTGCTTCTGGCGGAATTCCATCTGATCCTACTGCTTACCCGGGTTTCAGTAGCATTATCGGGTTCAGGACTTTACTTCTGCTATTGTCGGAGGGTTTGTGCCCACTGGTAATTCTGTGGCTGGGCTGCTGGTGATATTGCTGGACGATTTGCAGGTGTTTGTGGTGGTGGTGGTTGATCCAAGAGCTTTTTGAAGTGGTCAGTCCATTGTTTCCTTTGTTTATGTTCTTTGATAACTAGGATTCCTTCACTATCTTTCATTGGTTTCATCTGCATTGATCGCTTCCCAGGTATTGTTTTGGTTATTTGATATAATGTTGTCAGGTCTCTGTCTCTCCTACCTACAGCCTGTTCTGCTTCACTTACAAGTGTATCGTAGAAGTGTCTTTTGTCTTTGCTCACACTCTTCTTCACTTATTTGTTCAGTGTTATATATATGTTGTGTTCAGTTCCTCTCTTCGTTGTTCATCCCTGCATAGCATTGCCCTGGTTCCTCTGCTTCACCATTGCCGTATTCCTTTCCTCTATCAGCTTCCACGTATCCGTTGAGATCCATTCCTTGTCTTGTCTTGTTTCTTCTTCCTTCCTAATACGGTTATGCAGGTTTTTTTGCACATCTCTTTCAAAGAGTTCCAGTGTTCTTCCACTCAGGTCTCTTCAGGGATGTTGCTCAATGTCTCCCATTTCATCCTGATGACTGACTTACGTGGAGATGTTCTTTGTAGTTTCGTCCTTCAGTTCAGTTTCTGTTCTATGTGTTAAACTAGAACCATGGTCGTCTATCATCAACTTCTATGAAGGCTTTCAACTTAATTTTGAAGGTTTCTTGCACTAGATAGTGAGTAGTGTGAACCTACATCTGCTCCCCTTCTTGATCTGATCTTGTGTCCAGTAAGCTGCGTCTCCACTTTCTTCAGGTTGAGATGAAGTCGATCTGATTTTTAGTATGTCCATCTGGTGAAATTAAAATTATATCTCTTTGGGAATGTCCTTGTGATTGTACACACTGCCTCGCCTCCAATCACCAAATCGTTGAATGCACACAAGTCTGCAAACAGTTCTCCATTCTCGTTCATCAATTCACCGACTGCTTCTCCACCCATGCCATGATCAGTTCTCTTCCTGTGTTGTCCGCTCCCAGTTTCTCATTAAGACATGTCACCCCAACCCACCGCACCACACCCATTGCATTGGAATGGATTTTGATGTCGCTAAATGGTGTGTGGTCTTTTCCAGTCTTGTCGAGTAGTGATTCCAGTTGTCCACAGAATTCCTCTTTCTTCTCTTCATCTGCTTGATTATTTGTAGGTGCAATAGCATAGCACAGCGTAGCATTGTATGATTGTGACTTTCCTTCCTTGTGATTTGAATCTTGCTATCATGATCCCGCTCCTTATCCTGATCGTGATCGTGATCCAGCAGGAGGAGATTGGTTCCCACTGCATGAGAGAGAGCCTTCAATACTCTTGGTGGTGGTGGTGGGGGGGACATCATGGTAGCCACTCGAAAACTCAGTGTGCCCGTGGTTGTCTTCTGGATGACAATATTGGAGTAGATTATTGAGTGTCCAGTTGATAGTTTGGAGAGTTCACTTCCATTCCATCTACTTTCACAGATTCCTCATCGATTCCTAGCATTTCTGTGCTACACCTCATCTGTTTTGCAATCTGGGCAGTCCTGCCAGCCAGCTTCAAACATTGTGCGGCCATTCCATGTCCCCATGTTTGCTTTTGCTTTCATGGGGAGAGTGAAGACACATCGGCGAATCGGCTTCCCGAAGGCTTTCACCAACTGGCGTCATTTCGCCTCTCCGATTCCAGAGACGAATAATTTTAATTTTATGTTTACATTTTCTTTATGCTTTTAAGTTTCTTTAGCGGTTATATTGGTTTTACGGGGTTGGGTTGCTAGTCCTATGCCTAACGTTCTCTGTTTATCCGGGCTTAAGGCCGGCTAGTAACCAGTGAACTAGTTACATCAGCGAGGTTGTAAAATCACTGGCAAATACAGTAAACTTTTAGATCTTGAGAATCGACTGATTACCTGAAGAAGACAGTTTTTTATCAATGAATGTGAGTAGAAAGAACAATTAAGAAGTGTTAAATATCATTTAATAGTAAAAGTACAGTCTGATGCAGCTTGCTGTCTGCTTTCAAATACATAAACTACGCTTTCAGTTCCGCCCACTGTTTGAAAGCTAATGATACCACGATACTGGACAAAAGTTTATTGATGGAGTGGGGTTTAAATCTACGACTTACTAATGGACTGCCTTAACCAGTAAAAGCTTCTGATTCAACTGAGGTGGGTTATAATTTGTTCAACAAAACAACACTGAGAATTGTAGTGTTCTTCAGTTTTCAAATATTTGATTACACTTGTGTTAGCTTTTGCACTGGGTTACGAGCCATATTTGTTATATGAAGCTTGACGACCTAGTTTCTGAGATTGTAATAGGTTGAACAGTTTTTGGGCTTATTAGCCAGACGTTATGCATCTGTCACCCAATCTGCTGACTCAAAGCTCCACTATGAAACACAGTGTATTTTAGGTTGGTTTTTACATGTTTTCGTTGATAAAGTGTTGTCGTTTCACTTGCCTAGTAAATCCAGTTTGTTGATTTCCGGTATCATTTTAACAAATATATCGCAATTTCTAATATTATCAGCTAGTCAGCATGATATTTCAATGGTTTCGTTCCCTCTAATTTCCTATTAATATATCATAAATGTTTCTATTCGGTTTTCCAAAAGGTTAAACGTATACCCTTTTTTTTTATTACTTTAGGCCGTACACATTATTTGGGCGAAGTGGATCGTGGAGATACTGTAACTGATTATTTGCCAGAAGAACGCGAGCGTGGCATTAGCATTGTGACTGCAGCAGCTTCCTTATCTTGGCGAAATCATTCAATCCATTTATTGGATACCCCGGGACATGTAGATTTCACTGTTGAAGTTGAGCGTAGTTTAACTGTTCTAGATAGCGTTGTGGTCATACTGGATGCGGTTAAAGGTGTGCAAACTCAAACGCATACAGTTTGGTAAGGTTTATTTTCATTTATGTGAGAAAAGTCTTGATTGTCGAAATGTTGATTACAAGGATCTGGCTAATATTTACTTGTATTATCAATGGGTGTCTTCGATGGCGTATTTTTACACATTGTTTTATTACAGGGTAGCAAAGTTTAGTTACTAAGTAACAACCGCGTAAGGGAACTACCAAAACCTTGAAATGCTTATTAAACAATGGATTATTTTAAGGTCATGCGGCCTATATGAAACCTCTAGATAATGTGATGTAACGAATTAATATTTGATATTATTAGATAGTAGCTAGCAATGGGATCCAGGAAGTTTGTTTTGTCCTACTTGTGACTCGTCAGTTGGATATACCTACCTCCCATTGCGTGATTTTGTTCCCATTAAAACTCAAACACAGGACCACTCACTTCACCTTCTAGAGCGTCATCCACCTAGCTACTTTCCTGGATTCGAGTCCTAGTGGTAACAGCATCACCCCCACTAGGAAGTAGGCACATCCGACTGATGAGTCCTAAATGGGACGAAATACGCTTCTGGATTCCATTGCTAGCTACTCCCTATCATTAATATCAAATTTCGAAAATATTAACAGTATCGAAATATCTGTACAGAAGCCCGTATGCCATTAGTGGTCTATCGATTCGGTTCAGTCAATGATGAAGATGCTCACTAGATTTATATTTGTTAAAATCTCCCGGGTAGACGTTAAGCGTACTCTAAAACCGCTTGCATTGACAAACCACGGTGAAAGTTATTTGAGAAAAGCCTTAGTTATATCAAACAAAAGTATGATATCTTTGTGTGTAGTTGGCTGTCACTGCTTTCCTTATGATTAGACCGGCTAGACAGTCTACACTACAATAAGGATTTATGTCTAACAGTTTTCAGCTTTAGAGTTCGAAATCGGTACTTACCTTTATCCTTATATGCGGTATTTTTGAGTCTGCTAACCTAGCAGGGAAATTTGTACCCTAACGATGGTCTTGCCTAAAACTCATTATATCTGTTGTGTAGTTTGTAAGTGGTGCCGAGTGTGTTGACTTTTTTCTTGTTGTCATTTCTTATTGGGATATTGTTTGTGGAGTTTCAGTCTACTAAATTTTAACTTATTTGAATATGTGAAAATAATATAACCGTTTTATTAAGTCACCTGCTTTCCATGTTTTACCTTTCCTCTTAATTTAGCCGTCAGGCTCATCGTTATAACCTCCCGTGCTTAGTGTATATAAACAAAATGGATCGTCCACTGGCAAATGTAGATCTGTGTTTACATAGCCTGTCGAATCAGCTGCCCACAAAAGCTCCTTACATACCAATTCATTGGCCAGTGTTTGCTCATGACCTTCATATATCCAACATGTCATCATCAAATAATATCACAAACACTTCTGCTGCTCTGTCTAACCAACATCACGGCCTTCATGTTAAAGACAGTTGTACAAGTCGATTTGTAGGACTTGTAGATTTAACTACTATGGAATTAAAGGTAATCCATGACTAAACGTTTATAGAGTATTCGATACTCGTGATATTTAGTTACACTGTATTTATTCTTTGTTATCAGGAGATTTTAAGCATCTAGATTTGCAGGGCAGCTTTTATCACGGAATGATGTCAGATGAAGAAACATTGAAAGCCTAGGAGGACTGGACAGCTGCTTGGTTCAACTTTAAGGCACTTCAATAGTGTATACTCATGAATTCACAATGGATTAGGCTTAGAAACATTAGGTCTCGCGGAGGTCATGATACCATTAAGCCACTTGGTTCACATTTTCTGACTTCTGTCAATTCATCTAGTGTCATCGTTGCTCTCCATTCTCACTATTGTCCGGGGAGCTATGCTCATGGAGTGGTGTCCGTCAAGGGTGCCCATTGTCTCCATTCTTATTCAATTTTACCATGGATATTCTTATGGAGGTCTCCCTCTCGTCACCTGACTACACAGAGGTTGACCTAGTCGTAGGAGAATGTTTGTTAGACCTAGAATATGCAGATGACATAATCCTGTTAGGTGAAGACGGTGACAAGATGCAGAGTCTTCTGAACACTTTGAGTGTCAATTTGAGAATGTTTGGGATGCGTTTCTCACCACCGAAATACAAATTGTTGCACCAGGATTGGTCTGCCGTGGTGCCACGGCTAATCATAGACAGTGAAGTGGTTGTGTCGACCACTTCACTTGCCTGGGAACTAGGATTAGCCCTGCCCTGAGGGGTTATTGGCCGATGAAATCTCTGCACGAATAAAAAAGGCTTGGTTGGCTTTTGAGAACTTACACCACCTTCGAAGTCGCCGTGATATCCGTTTGCCTAGTGAGGGTCGCGTGTACTGCACAGCAGTCCGGTTTGTTCTACTGTATGACTGTGAAACATGGCCATTGAAGGTGAAAGACACGAGAAGGCTGGCTTTAGGTGTTTGACCACCGTTGCCTTCCTAGTATAAGCCGTATTCCGTGGTGTCACCACGTGAGTAACGCAGACGTCAGGTATAGAGTTTTAGGGAGTGGAGGTAAATCTGTTGACGAGGTTGTGAACCTTCATCGACTGAGATGGTTGGGACATATGTTACGTACCCATACCCATACCTATTCGCCAATCACCCCGTCATACAGTGTCGACCGAAGTAGGTGCAGACTGGAAAAAGGCTCGAGGTGGCCAGACTAAAACATGGCACCAATGTATGAAGTGTCTGACTGTTGGTTTGAGCCATGTGGGGTGATGCAGACTAGTCGGTTGGGGTCTGCGGGACAAGAGGAACCAGTGGTTGAAGACTCTGGGCGATACTGCTCAGAACCGATGTTAGTGGCGCAGATGTATGCATACATTATGCCCATCTTAACGACTCCATACCAAATTTCACCATTCTCTCTTTTCGTACTTTATATTTCTCTTGACTGAATTTTGTTTTCTCCATCTTCCACTTTACTGCCCTTTTACTTGATGTACTGATATGATCTGTGGCAACTCGGACCGTTACACAGTAATGCCTGGTTCTATGTTGATATTGATGGGGATTGACTTTGGTAACCCATAGTCGATAGCTTGTTGCTAGGACCTCAGGAAATCTATCTAGTAGCCAATCACTAATATGAGTACTGGATTGTAATTCAGTTTAGCTTTATTTTTTTTTTGAAATTGATTGATCTGTCTAGGTTGTCAACGGTTCGCTAAATGATGCCGATCTGTTATGAAACTGTTTGGAAATCAATGCCAATCCCTGCATAACCCTTTGAGATTTTGTTTTTTCTGTACAATATTTCTTCTGACTTGATTGTTCCTAATTTAACGTAGATCAATTTTTCTGGTTATTAATGTGGGATCTAGGTTGATTGAGTGAACTATGCAATAGCGGAGCAAAATCGGTTGACAATACCAGTATTTTTTATTGTTTTAATAGGCCAACTAACAGACTAACTGGTTGTACTTTCTGTGCCTGAAGTTCGAAATATTTAGTGAGTTTCAGTAAGCAAGTGCAGATTTGTTCTCTGATTTATGCACCGTACTAAATTTGTTAGAATTTATGTGATATAATAGTACTCTTCACCTGTCCATAACTTTGGTAGGATGGAACTCATTGGAATGGATGACCCAACAAATTAGAATTGAGGGTCATTTGACCAAGAGTTTTAAAAGGTGAAATTCTAATTCTTCATTAATGAACACTTCTCGGAATCGGTGCAATATCTGATACTGCCTCTGTTTAAGCTTTGTTAAAGAGTATCTCATGTTCATTTTCAGCTCACTTTTCAGTTAAGACTTTAGAGTACATAAACACAGAACTTCTCGACTAGATACTACCCTATTATCTCTTGTTTGTTAATATGCACAGTTTTTATAAATATATGAAAGGAATTTGAGCTATATTATTGTTTGTTCATCGACCGGAAAGCAGTTGATATCATAAAGGCATTTTCTAATGTTGAAAAGGATGAGACCGACTATAAAGAGAAATTACTTTTCTTCTTTCGATTTATCTCTGATAGTATAAATCCGCTTTAAAATAGTTAGATGAGTGAATACTCTTTTGACATAAAGTATATCTCTACTTATTTTTAGATTGGGTTGACTGATGTGATAGAATATGCTAATTCCCTAGACCAGATAGAAATTTAATTATGCCTAATAAAAATTAAATAATAAGCGATTATTGAAGTTGAATCGAAGCTCATATTCTACCTTTATTCATAAACATTAATAAACTCTATAAATTGAGTAACATTTTGCTTATAATCACCAGTTGTCTAGGTCGTACAGGCGTGTAAGAAGCTTAGAAAGTTACTAGAATTGATCGAATGAAGAAATGATTACCAAATTAGGTCTTGTTTGTAACCATAATCTATTTAGTTATCATATTTCTCACAGAGGTGATGCTACTAATCATCATTATTCTCATCTTGGTTTATATCATGTAAATTATTTTTTTCATTTTCTTATTAGAACTGGATTTCATGCAACGATCCAGATGATATGTACACATCATCTAACTTATTTGAAGGTTTAAATACAACTACCAACTTGCATAACCCTTATAAATTCAAATCAAAATCTCAGAATGATTATGAATTGAATACAAATATCGTTCAGGAGGCATTGAATGCACGTATAAAGTTGTTGACAGCATTAGCTGAAGTTGATGAGGAGTTTGCTGATGAATTGTTACAACTTGATAACCCAGAGTTGTTGATCCCTTCAGATGTTGTTCATAAAAGTTTGAAAAAGGTATAATTTTTATCACGATATCGTAGTCTTTCTGTTTTATAGTTGAATTCATTCCTGCAGTTTTTTCTGTTTGATTATTACTCATTTACAGTCACTTAAACTATTTTTATTTTACTTAATATTGTTTATGAGTTCAGATACAATTGTGACTGAATTCGTGTAAAACTCGTTTAATTTTAAATACACAATCACTTTTTTCTCCGCTCACTAAAGTCATTATAATCCTCTGCAAACTGTCATTACACTATGTGTTTGTATTTCAGGCAATTCGTTCTTTTCATATTATACCTGTGTTAGTTGGAAGCAGTCGAAATAATATTGGGATTCAACCCCTTCTTGACTTCATTGTTGATCATCTTCCAAATCCTGGCCAATGTAATCTACCGACTTCTGTTTTAAAAGTTTATGAAGTGTCGAAATCTATCTTGCCGAATTCAAGTGATATATTAAAGGCGTCACATAACTTGGATGATCATCTGACTATTCTTTCTTCAAGATTCCCGATAATGCTTGTATTCAGAATATGCTTTGATCCACATCGTGGTCCGCTTACCTTAGTACGTATATATTCTGGATTAATCACTCCTGGCTGCCAAATAACTAACTGGAGCCGATATAAAGATGGCCATTTATTCGAAAAAGTAAGTCAGTATTTTAAGATGTGTTTTCATCTTGACCTCACTTGTGCTATCCCATGGTACATTTTTTATCTGATGGTCAGTTAATTACTTTACTAATTGATCATTAGCAACTCAACTGACAAAAGCATGTCAAGTTCATTTCGGCCATGGAATCTTGGATTTGATTGATTACCGTGTAAAAGAAAGATTCATGTACCCTTGTATCTCATTATCCTATAAAAACAATAACACTGTTGCTTGATATTGTCTTCATTCGTAGATTTTAAATGTATTTCAACTGAACGGAGATTCTCTAGAAGTGGTCAAAAGTGCTGGACCTGGTAGTATTGTTGCTTTAAGCGGACTTCAGTCAACGTATACAGGTGATATTCTAGGTCCAGTATTGAATTCAACCAAGGATAAACAAATCAAAAAACTAATACATTCCGAATTTCATACTACTGAAGAGATAACTGAAAGTGGAATAGGGTCGCTATCTTTATTCCAAGTGTCAGAGCCCGTTGTATATGCAGCTATCGAACCCAGTGGCCGATCTGATATACGCATACTTGAACATGCTCTCAGTTGTATGCAACGTGAAGATCCCAGTTTCCATGTAAGTTGTGATTTACAAATCTGATCATTAATTTATTCGATTTCTGTTAACCTTATATAATTTTAATTCCATGAAGAGGTTGCTATCATAATCGATATTCTTTACACTATACGAATAACTCACTAGTACATTTATATGTGTAGGAATCCGGTTAATTTAAATATAGGTCACCAATCTACGTTAGTACCAGTTAAAGAACCATTTTAAAATTGCTGGTACTGTGTTATCGTTGTATGCTCAGTTGGAACTCTGTAATTTTCTGCTTTTCACGCTTTTTTTTAGGGGGTGGTGGTAAACAAGTCAAGGTCAACCTTGATTTTCACCAATGTATTTGCTAACTAACGTTCAATCATCTTGAAGCGATATTTAATTATTGTCATTCAAAATAATCCAAAAAGATATTCATTTTGTAGGTTTGTGGGGATTTTATTGATTTTTAAGTAAATATTCATCAAAATGACGTCAGTTGGAAGACTATTGAGAACCTGGGAGCACTGGAGAGCTGTTTTGCCTTGGTGTAGAGCTCTATACTTATGGTATCTTACTGTCATTGTCTGGAAAGTTGGTAATGGTGGCAATTTTCTTTATGTCCATTGTCTTATTCACTGAATTGCGACCCACTTGAAATCTTGCCTTGCCGACTGCTAACTGGATGACCAGGTAGTATCATAAGTCCTCAAACAAGTGGTTTGGCTAACTGCCCACCGCACGAATGTGTACAAAGTCGCTCAATGGATTCTGTCCATGTGTTTCGGTTTGAATTACACTATATGTCACAATGTTTTGTTAGAGTGTAGCATACTTCGTAAATCATGTGAATATATTGTGACTATAATCATCAGTTATTTTGTTGGTTCATAAGAATTCTTGTGTGTCTGGATGTCACAGTATGCGAGTAAAGAATAGCGTATTCATTAGAGACATACAGAACTTGTCATTCTGATTTTACTTTTTTGTGATATAGGATTCTGACTGGCCAGCCTAATACGATTTGGAATTCCACTTATCAACAACCGTGTTTTGTGCGTATTATAAATGTGTAAGGAGTATGTGTGAGGGTTTCGGTCAATGTAATTTCTTCTATCAATATTGAATCCTAACATCTCAGATCTATTATTTATCCCCAAATTTTGAACAGAAGTATTTCTTTTCTGATTGTTTCTGCACGCACGTTACCTGCTTGCAGCCGACAGATAGCTGCTACCTTAACGTGGTATTTGCATTCGTATATTACGATGACCTAATGAGGTGTATTGGTGGGACACTTGTTCCTTCATGGTTCTAAAATACCAGAAAGGTCAGCTGGATTTTGGTAAGGTGAAAATCAGTTACCGTTGTAGTATAAATTGCTATACTTTGAGGGGTGAAGTCGTACTTTGGCTGGTGTTAAGGCGTTTTTCTTGAATGACAAGCAATTGCCATGCTGATGCTATCTCCTCTATAAAAACGGTGCACTGGAGTTGGAATTGAGCGGTCTTAAAAGTGGCGCCCCCTCAACTGTACGGTATACCAATGCCAGCGATGTAGGTTCATAGTCGGATTCTCGAAAAAGAAAGTTAAATCTCAAACTTTTAAAAAGGCTATATGTACTTGATCTCCAGCAGATATTTGTGTTAAGTCCTGCGGTCATGCATTAATCTTTCTTTTTCAGGTACTTCAAGAGGAATCAGCTTTTAGTGTGTGATCGGTGGTTTCTGCGTGATAACAAATCAGTGATTGGATACTTTGTGATATGACTCAATCGATGTCAATGACGCAGATGTGTATCCATTAGTATCTTCATCTTAATCATCATCGTCCTTTCTTACTGTTTTTGGAAGATATTTTATCAGTTCTAACTGCTTTCTTCTTAATCTTTCATTTTGATGTGTTTTGACTAGATATGCTGATTAAGGTATGGCAACTTGGATCATTACGCAGTAATGCCAAGTCGTATTTTGATTCTGTCTGGCTACCAAATTGTTCTATCGAGTATATTGCATCAAGTTACTCCTTTTGAAGATGTTTTTAATGAATCAGAAATGCCATTAAATCACACCATAGACTTTCGTGCACTTCTACAATTTTTTCAGCTTATCGTTTATAATAAAATGAAGAAAGAAACATCATGATGAATGGTTGTAGGATCTTAAGCCTTTAATAACTTATATAACTATTCCTGAAATAGTTAGCTCTTACTACAAACTTTGTTCACTGAGTGGGACTGCACCTCCAGTCATGAACACTTTATCCCTTCTTCCCATGGTAGCAAAATATCTACAGGCTAGACAAAAACTTTTGGAGTGAGAAGAGGGGCATACGCTGGACTGATGAAAAGAGCCTAGAAAATTTGGATTTCGCCGATGATTTGTGTCTATGTTGCACAAACTCGAAGATCTACAAGCGAAAACTAACAAGTTGACAGAAGAAGCAGCGAACTTCAAGTTAACGTAGAGAAGACGGAGGTGATAAAGATACTCAACCAACAACAGCATCAACAACAAGAGGCACCAATCACTGTTAACAGGAGACACCTAAAGAAAGTAGTCTCTTTCACCTACCTGTTTAGGCAGCATCGTTTCAACTACAGGCGGCAGTGGCACAGACGTGGATGTCAAAACCGGGATCGGAAAAGTGAGGCAGGCTTTCACTAATCTGAAAACAGTGTGGAAATCTACTGCACTCAGCACAAAGAACAAGATCCGGATTTTTAACACCAATGTGAAGTTAGTGCTGCTATATGGTTGAGAAATTTGGCGCGTTACGAAAAGCACTTCCAACAAACTATAGACATTCATGAACATCTACCACCTACGCTCGATACTGAAGATCAAATAGATTGCCAGAAAGAATAAGCAACAAGGAACTCTGGTTTGCCAACCAAGAACCTGTCACCCAACAAATATGCAGAAGAAAGTGGAGATGGATTGGATTAGGCATAGAGTGAGAAGGTCGACTGGGGACATCACGCGCCATGCCAGGCCCTCGAGTGGAATCCAAAGGGGAAACGACGAGTTGGGCGTTCGAGGTGAGGGTGACATGGAGGAGATGGTGTGAGGAAGAAATGAAAGCTTGTGGGCAGTGGTGGAGCCAGGTTGAAAAGACTAGAGAGAAGAGAGTAGAATGGCGACGTGCTACTGAAGCCCTATGTTCCACTAGGAACCCTAAGGGAAAAAATAATGGACAAAAACTTAACTTTTGGCCATACATAAATTACTAATGATACTAGTATTATCAACATTATTTGGTTTTTGTGTTTATTTCAGTAGAAAATATTTCACAGTTAGTAAGTTTATTGTATTATTATTACAAAGTACTGGGAGTTCCATACTGTATCGAAAATCATATTTACAATAAAGTGATTATTATTATTACTTAATTAATATTTTCTCAAGGTGAAGTTTGACTCGGAAACTGGCCAGTGGACAATTTCTGGAATGGGTGATCTGCACTTGGATATTATCCTTGCAAGACTGAAACGCGAGTATAAAGTCAATGTTCGTATAGGTCCTCTTTTAATTGCTTACAAAGAATGTCCATCAACTGATGCTTGTAGTTCATGTGGATGGGTTATACAGCCGGATATGTGAATGGTTATGAGACAGCTATTGGAGTTGAAATAATACTTCACCCGAAAACTATGCATCCATTTCATAAGCCTCAGGTAATATCAGTATAATGAGTGTATTACTTTCATACGTTATATCAAACGTTTTGAGTAGACGACTGTGGTATTTTTATGAGTTATTTTACTGTTATAATATTAACAATAATTATAGTCATCTGCAGACACTATCCTTCTTTTTGCATCTCAGTGTTTCTTGCTGTGTTATTGTAAATTCACTTTCTTATCCCTTATATTTCTACCTGATGTTGTTCCTTCTTTTCTTCAGAAACTCCACCAAATGATCTTAGTACTTCTGCATCTTTCGCCTTCGCTTTCTATATATTACTTTTTATATACTTTTTCATAAGTAGCTTTCTTCACAATGATAATAATAATGGTGTTTTCTATGTAGTTAACAAAGAGCTAATATAATTTCCTGAGGATTTTTAAATCAGACCAGATTTATGACACTTATGAGGATTTCTTCTGTTTATCTGTGCGGATGTAGAAATTGCCTGAGTTTTTTTCCGTAATTTCATACCAACCTGATGTGTCCCGTAAATCCATCGTCAGACAGAATGGTAACGTTGGATCTAACTGTCTTGTTTTACTTTTACATTTTAAAAGGCTGTTGCAATTTCTTCTTTTTTCTACGACTGAGATGCAAGTCTTTAGCATGTGTTCAAGCTACGTTTCATGAGCGCATAATACCCGTCAGAAAACATAGACAATTCCTCTAGTATTTTGTATATTCCGAACGTTTGTAGTAAAAAAAATATGTAGTATGCGTTTAAAAATGTTCTAAGTGATTAGACGATAAGATATATTATTACCAATAGGCTCTGATCACACTTTGTTGTTGCTTACGGCTCATGGTGAAGCATCTTCCGTCGGTAAAGTAAAACTTGGCTCATAGTACCATTAGAATTAATTATCGATACATTCTCAATTGTAGTCTATTCTGTTATACGACTGTGAGATATGGCCGTTCAAAGTAGATGATATGAAGCGGCTACAGGGTGTCGATCACAGGTTTCTTCGCAGCAGTGCTCATGTTTGATGAAATCACCGTTTGAGCAATGTTTAGATCAGGCCAAGGGTACTAGACAGGTCGATTGATGAGGTCGTGAACCTTCATCTCCCAAGATAGCTTGGGCATGCATTGCGCATGCCGAGTCACTGCCTACCTCGACGTGCCATGCTAGGGGAAGTTGGATTAGTTTGGAAGAGGATTCAAAGTGACCAGACCAAGACCTGGCATCACTCCATGAAGTCCTTGACAGTCGGTCTGACCCGTGTAGATCGATATAGACTACCTGGTTAGGGTCCCTGAGACAATAGGAATTAGTGGTTGTGATGACTCTTGGTGACATGCAAGGTCCTATCTGGATGTTGTCTCTCTTTCTGTCTAGTATAAATATGGGACTTGGGATTACTGCATAATAACCTAATTCATCACATGTCACATCAAAATGCACGGAAACAAGGTGAAAAATAGACAGGTAGATTGGAAAGATGTAATCAAAAGTTGTTATAAGAAGAAAATTGGCGTGGTTAATCAACGAAATGGGATATGATGATTAAGATGCAGGTAATATGTGAATGTATATGTGTCAGTACTATTGACTCCGAACCATTTCATGGAAAGCCTTCAACCGTCGATTCAGGTTTTCATAGGTTTCTATAATACTAAGAGAAATGGTATGTTAGGATTGTTTGCCACTTAAATTAACAGTAAAGACAAGTCCAAAAGAGCAGCAGAGACTTTTTATTGGAGAATTACATTCGGTAATAATTAAAATGCTAAATTTGATAATAAAGGTATACTTATAGTTATCCTTATTGTTTTGTTTTCCATATATATGTTTCTACTTGATAATGGGTCTTCTTCCCTCTGGAAACTTTCAGAAGTCGATCATTATCACTTCTCTTGGTTTCTGATACTACGCTATACACACTACTTGTATGCATTCTTAAGATTAGCATTCACCACAATTATGTTAACTAAGATGCATGTATGTACGTTTTTAATGGTGTTTAATTGAGAGTGACACGTTTGCTGACTTCTGAGTATTAACCACCAAATTATATCATACAAAATATAGTAGTTGTCAAAATCCCATCAGTATCATAAATGAAGCTATATCACTTTACGTAGTTTTTTCGGTCATTTCAATAGTATTATAAAATATCTATACATAAGCTTTTTAACACAATATGGCTTGCTTTGTAAAGTTAACAATTAATTTTGTTTGATATTGTTCACTTATATTCTGCTGCTTATCGTGCTTATGAAGATAATTATTGACCACCATGGAGATGGTAGAATTGCACGTTTACGACATGCTATTACAGAAGCTTGTTTGTCTGCTTTAGAAGTTAGTGGACCTATTCTTCATTCACATATTATTGGAGTAGACGTTCATATTCATCGTATTGTATGTGGTCGTCCACAACAAATTTCAAATGGTTTGCAGTGCATTGAAAATGTTGGTGATTTAAGTATAGACAGACTGTCCAACACTCAACTTTCATCACCATCTCTTTTAGCTTTATTAAAGACAACCTGTATTGCTAGTCTAAGAGATGCTGTTTCTAAAATACCTAGTTGGCGTCTTATGGAACCGATGATGGACATTGAACTCCAACTTCCTGCTGAAAGAGGTAATTTTTCGACAGATGCATACAGAATTATCTTAGCATATTAAACTATGTATTTTAAACGGAAACCCTCGTATCAGTTGTATTTAAGTTAATGATCTTTAGTGACTTCCATCATCCAGTCATATTCAATTCCATCTAAAACGAGATAATTAAGCTAGACAGTTAGTAGGATAGAAAACAATCATTCATATATTTATTCATTTCCGAAAGGAAGTTGGGCTTTGAGACTACTGTTATCATTATCACTACTGCCATTATTAGTATTATTATTCCTATTATTATTGATGATATTATTATTTTTATTACTGTTGCTATTAGTATTATTACTATTACCATTGTTATTATTACTACTAGACAATACAAACTTGGTACATCATGGGCATCAAGAGATGTCCCGTAAAAAGTTGTAAAGCAACAATCCGAAAGCACATGAAAGGGAGAGAGAATGAAAACAAATGGAGGGATAGGTTATTAAGTAATCAATTTTAAAGAACCATTTGCTAATTTCATCTTACTTCTCAGTAATTGAAGAAAAATAAAGTTGCAGCATGATTGCAACTAGTTTCAGTTCTGAACCGTGTATACTGTTGTCTCAAGCCTCCGAGTTAAATGATCTCTCGGAATCCATTCAGGGAGTTGTGAGGCATCTACAGATGTTAATCCAACACAAATAACCTTCATCTCACGGTATCACACCATATACTGGCCATCTCTCTGCTTCTTCCAGCCAGTTTTAAGGCAAGCGAACAGTGAGTGATGTGGGGGCCTCTGGGACGACACGGACAACCAATATCTGAGCCACCAAAGCTGGTGTTTCAAGATAAATATATTCAATGAATGGCGATCTTTGTCGTGCCCAAACACCGCCTCACATGAGAAATACTTCCATGTTGTTTACACTAGATGCGAGCAATCCTACGAAGACAACAGTGACCGCATACGCAGTTATCGAACATCCTCACTTCAGACAGACCAGGTTTCAGGCGCATAGGACAAAACTACCCTCACTGATGCGTTGTTTACCCAACGTTTTACAGAAAGCCTAACATCACTAAGGCGCCAAAGATGATTCAGATTGGCATATGCTACTATTACTTTCGGTATGGGATTGGAAATCTCGTCAGTCACACCTCCACCAACTAGCGCTCTCACAACTGTCCAGGTGCACAAATGTTTCCACAGCTCGCAGCGACTCATCGCCAAGGGTGGGTGCAGGTACAGGTTTATACCAATCTTTTAGAAGTAGTTGGGACTTTAATAGTACAAAGTGCATACTGTACTTACAAAATCGATCGCCAAGTGATTGAGTAGCTTCTATGGTGTCATACAGTAAAACGGTATTGTTTGCATACTCGAGGTTGAAATGTTTTCTAACTGTCAGCAGGTCTACACTATCACCACGCACTACCTTCAGGACTGTCTCTAGGATGTCGTCGATGGAGAGAAATGAAAAGCTGTACAGCCCTGCCCATGATTGTTTTGGAACAATGGACATAGGTAGCTGTATGCTTTCACTCTACCTACGGTGTTGAGTAATCTCACGTAGTATATATCCTTATATTTGGAAATGCCGTTAATCCTTAGAAAACCTATTACCAAATGATTACAGCTACTTTCAAAGATAGAAAATTGGCAAACTAGTATTGATACTGAGTGATAATTGAGGTTGAAATGAAAATTTGGACTGCGGCTAGATTCGAACCAGCGACCATTGAGTTTCCGGTCCGATACTCTACCAACTGAACATCAGGTCGGAAACCCAGTGGCCTCTGGTTCGAATCCGGCCTCAGTTCAGATTTTCATTTTATCTTCAGTTATCACCCAGTATCAATACTAGTTTGCCAAACCGCGGGTATCTCAGATAGCTAAAATAACAATTCTGATTGTCTGCGTTTGGTTGGTCAGGAGTAAGTCCTCTAAGTAAACAAGCCTGTACATGTTTCTTGAAGTGTATTCACTTCTGATGTACATCAGCTATCGGTGAAATAATGATTAGATTGATGAAAACAGCCAACTTGTTTTAGCAAGATTATACTGATAGACGGACTAATGCTGCGAAATGTGAACACATTAGTTGGTTTAAGTATTCGACTTGAAATTATTGCACAACAGGCATTTATTTCTTACTGGTAAATTATGAGTTTTAGGGGAAACTGTGACCTAACTATCAGTTCACTTTCCTAGCTCACATGTTATGATATCAGGTAGGTGATTTTGAAACCGATTGAGAAACTAGGTTTTCTTTCACCTCCAACCATTATATTATATATTATATATATTAGTCCCTTGGGTTCCTAGTGGAACATAGGGCTTCAGTAGCACGCCTCCAGTGACCTCTGTTCTCTGAGATCTTTTGAACCTGGTTCCACGACAGCCCACAAGCTCTCATTTCCTCCTCGCATGACCTCCTCCATGTCACCCTCGGACGTCCAACTCGTCGCTTCCCATGGGGATTCCACTCGAGGGCCTGACGCGTGATGTCCTCAGTCGGCCTTCTCAGTGCATGGCCAATCCATCTCCACTTCTTCCTGCATATTTGTTGCGTGATAGGTTCTTGGTTGGTTCGTTCCCAGAGTTCCTTGTTGCTTATTTTTTCTGGCCATCTGATCTTCAGCAGCGAGCGTAAGCAGTTGTTGATGAATGTCTGTAGTTTATTGGAAATACCTTTCGTGACGCGCCAAGTCTCTGAGCCATACAAGAGCACTGACTTGACGTTGGTGTTGAAAATCCGTATCTTGTTCCGCATGCTGAGTGAGTGCAGAAGATCTCCACACTGGTTTCAGGCTAATGAACGCCTGTCTTGCTTTTCCGATTCTGACTTTGACGTCCTCGTCCGTCCCGCCTGTAGTTGAAACAGTGCTTCCTAGATAAGTGAAGGAGGTTACTTCCTTTAAGTTTCTCCCGTTGACGGTGATTGGAGTTTGTTGTTGTTGATGGTGGTGGTGCGGTATCTTCATCACTTCTGTCTTCTCTATATTCACCTGAAGTCCCGTCTTAGCTGCCTCTTCTATCAACTTGTTAGTTTTTGTCTGCAGATCTTCAAGTTTATGTGACATTAGGCATAAGTCATCGGCGAAATCCAAGTCTTCTAGGTTCTTTTCCGTCGTCCAGTGTATCCCCCTCTTCTCGCTGCCTACTGTTTGCTGCATGATCCAGTCCACCACAATAAGGAATATCATGGGGGATAGTAGGCAACCTTGTTTCACTCCTGTCTTCACTTCAAAGGCATCACTGAGCTTCCCATTGTGGATTACTTGGCATGTGGCATCTTCATATAGTTGTTGAATGAGGCGGATAAAGGTTTGCGGTACTCCGTAGTATTGAAGCAGTTTCCAAATTACTTCTCGGTCGACGCTGTCAAAGGCCTTCTCAAAGTCGATGAAGTTGAGGTATAGAGCTGATTGCCATTCTACGCTCTGTTCTATGATGATACGAAGCGTTGCAATTTGGTCTGCACATGATTTGTACTTCCTGAAGCCTGCCTGTTCCGGTCGCAGTTTTGAATCCAGTGCGTCTTTAAGCCTCTCCAGGATGATGCGGCTTAATATTTTACTTGGGGTGGACAGGAGAGTGATTCCGCGCCAGTTCTTGCAAGCACTGAGGTCTCCCTTCTTCGGCAGTTTGACAAGGTAACCCTTCTTCCAATCGTCAGGTACCTTCTCTTCCTTCCACACCTTCTGCAATAGTGGTGTGAGCATGTCCGCTGTTGTCTCTGCATCTGTTCTCAGTGCTTCTGGCGGTATTCCATCTGGTCCTGCTGCTTTCCCGCATTTCAGTAGCTTTATGGCGTTCAGGACTTCCATTTTCGTTGGGGGATTTATGTTCACTTGTAATTCAGCGGCTGCAGGTGGTATTTCTGGACGAAGTGCAGGTGGTGGTCGATTCAAGAGCTTCTTGAAGTGGTCGGCCCATCGTTTCCTCTGTTTCTCTTCTTTTGTAATTAAATTTCCTTCTTCATCTTTTATTGGTTTCATCTGTGTTGGTCTCTTCCCTGATAGCAACCTGGTTATTTGATACAATGTCGTCAGGTCTCTCTTACCTGCAGCCTGTTCTGCTTCACTTGCCAGTGTTTCGTAGAAGTGTCTTTTGTCTTTGCGTGCACTCTTCTTCACTTCTTTGTCCAGTGTTTTATACATTGTGCTCAGTTCCTCTTGTCGTTGAGCATCCTTGCACTGGTTTATCTTCTGCTTCACCATCCTCCTCTCCTCTATCAGCTTCCAGGTATCCGTCGAGATCCATTCCTTGTCTTCTTTCTTCTTCCTTCCTAATACTGTTGTGCAGGTTTCTTTCCACATAGCTTTCAAAGACTTCCAGTGTTCTTCCACACAGGTTTCTTCAGGGATGTTGCTCGATGTCTCCCATTTTGTCTTGATGGCTGCCTTGAAGATCTCCTTTGTAGTTTCATCCTTCAGTTTCCGAGTGTTGTACTTGAATTGAGGTCTATCACCAGCTTCCTTGAAGGCTTTTAACTTGATTTGGAAGGTTCCTTGCACTAGATAGTGGTCTGAACCTACATCTGCTCCTCTTCTTGACCTTGTGTTAAGTAGACTGCGTCTCCATTTTCTTGAGATTGAGATAAAGTCGATTTGATTTTTAGTGTGTCCATCTGGTGAAATCCATGTCGCTTTGTGGATATCCTTGTGCCTGAACACACTGCCTCACTGCAATCACCAAATCGTTGAATGCACAGAATTCTGCAAACAATTCTCCATTCTCATTCATTTCACCTAGCGCCTCTCGACCCATGGTTAGTTCTCTTCCTGTGTTGTCCCCTCCCAGTTTGGCATTCATGTCGCCCATTAGAATTTTGATATCGCCAACTGACGTCTTGTCCAGTGTTGATTGAAGTTGTCTGTAGAATTCCTCCTTTTTCTCTTGCTCTGCATTATTTGTAGGTGCATAACATTGTATGATTGTGACCTTTCTTCCTTTTGAGTTGAATCTTGCTGTCATGATCCTGCATGAGGAGATTGGTTCCCACTGCATGAGAGCCTTCGATGCTCTTGAGGACATCATGATAGCCACTCCCTCAGTGTGCTCGTGGTTGGCGTCTGGGTGACCGGAGTAGATTATTGATTCTCCAGTTGACAGTTTGGAGAGTCCACTCCCATTCCATCTGCTTTCGCAAATCCCAAGCACTTCGATATGATACCTTCTCATCTCCTTTGCAATCTGGGCTGCCTTACTGGGTTCAAACATCGTGCGGACATTCCATGTCCCCACGTTTACTTTCGCTTTCATCGAGAGAGTGAAGACACATCGGCCAATTGGCTTCCCGAAGGCTTTCACCAACTGGCGTCATTTCGCCTCTCCGATTCCAGCGGGGAATAAGTTTGTTTTCATTTTTTATATTTTGTTTGTGCTTTGAAGTTTGTTTAGCGGTTAGATTTGTTTTACGGGGTAGGGTTGCTAGCCCTATGCCCAACCTTCCCTCTTTACCCGGGCTTAGGACCGGCTAGTAACTAGTAAACTAGTTAACCAGGCGAGGTTACCTCCTCCAACCATTACCTGTGTAATAAACAAAATCTTACTACATTTTCTACGGCGTATTGTATAATATTGACTTGAATTGAAATGACTCATCACAAAGATGAAATCTGAGCTATTTTTTAAGTTGGAAACCTTGGTTGTATTGTGTTCTCTGAGCTGGGTTGTTAAATCATGGAGCTTACATCGTCTTTCCAGACGACATCATCAACACTAACTTCAGTATGAAGTGGTGTTTTAGTCAGTAGGATAAATGCGGGAAAGCTGGAAACCCAAGTGTACGGGAAACCAACACACACTGATCAAATCCTCAACTGCAGTGGCAACTACACACAAAATTAGTTGCGTGCAAACTATTCGGAAGAGCGAGAACACACTGCAGTACAACAACTTCACGGAGAAACGAAGAAAATCACTTGATGTCTATCCTATCCGCGAAACTATTAGGAGATGCCTATCCCGTACAACATCATCTACAAAGCCATCGATGAAAATCAACAAACGCATCACTTTACTATGCATAAAGAATATATCAGAAATCACGACAAGATTACTAAGACCACTTGGAAATTAGCTTGGCTCATAAACCAACAAATTCCCTCCAAATACTATTATGCAGACTAAAGGACGCCGCGACCAAAGAAGACAAATCGAATATCATTTACAAAACCAACTGCAATAACTGTAGTCAACACTACATTGAATAAAGTAGTTGCTCTCTTCGCCTCCGTCGACGTGAACACCAATTGGCTATTAAACGTCATGACATTTCATCACTCATTTCAATGCACGTGGATAACTATGGACATGAATTCGATTTTGACAATGTAGAGCTCTTGGACGGAGGAAACACAAAGAATATAAGAGAATTCCTAGAAGCTTACTACTCAAGTCAGTCAGCAATCAACAGATGTAAAAACATAGGCCCAATCTATCAACCAATGAGAATGGTAAACAACAGAAAGGTCATAGACCAGCCAGAGAAACAGCCAACAGAAAAACTCTGTGCAGTCTATGATACAACAGTGAAAGGAAATAACCAGTGACAAAGCACCTCGTCAGGGCAAGCTACTAAATCACTCACGGAGAGATATTGACGACTCACTTCATACTGAAGTTAGTGCTGATGATGTTGTCCAGAAAGACGATGAAAGCTGCACGATTAAACAACCTAACTCAGAAAGCACAATAAAACCAAGACCATCGGCATGAGCTACAAATATTCTACACCATTTCAAGTTGGGAAATCTGCCTGACACTTCACTATAGATTTTCTAGAATTTACGTTACTTGAAACACTCACAATTTGTATTCAGTTTTCAACTTTAGCAAGTCTTTCTCGGTTTTTTTCTGATTTAATGTAGGTTGTGAGTCTGAGTTATCGGCTTTTCTTGGTGATTTAACAAACAGGCGAGCGGAAATAAAATCTGTGGATAATGCAGACTTGAACGAGGATGACAAAGCACAAAGAGTTATGAGATATCATTGTATACATGCTGTTGCTCCCTTATCTGAACTGGCTAACTATTCCAAAACTGTGAGGTGTCTTTCATCTGGACGAGCTGAGCTAAATCTTCGACTAACAAATTATCATCCAGTTAGCAGAGAACATCAAGAAAAGTTATTAAATCAATACAAATGGTCTGGTACCACCATTTTATCCTGACATTAATGCTACAAAACCACCATATAATTAACATTGAAAACACATGTGTATTAAATACGTTGTATTAGAGGCAGTTTATATGAAGGGTTTTCTTCCCAATGAATAAATTTATAATATGGCTGTCTTGAAAATTTTCTTGCTTAATTCAACGCAATCTATGGGTTTTGCTGATATGATTGGAACAGGAAGAGCTTGGCAAAGAGCATAAATCGAGAAAAAATGGAATACTGACAAAGAGATTGAAATGTTCGTTGACTATATGCTTTTTTTTATGGCTCAGGATTACTGAAAGTGAATTAAACTATGTACGACTAATGTTCGTGAAAACAACTGAGTTTTGATACATAATTATCACTTAATAGAACTTAGCATGCTGTGGTGAACTATACTATAATACGGGACATCAGTTCCGTAGAGGTTACAGGTACACACGTGTTGCTGACGCGTATCAAAAAGTACGAAATCTAGGTTAAAGCAAGGTTTCCTGCCGATTACCTTCATCCAACTAATAAATATGAAAACTCTTACGTCAGTGATTCATGCGTAATACATAAAGTTTAGTATTACTGAGGGTGAACAGCCCATAGGTTAATTGATATAAATACTGAAAAGGGGGTTTTAGGGAAATTGTTTTTTTTTCGCTTTAATGACAAGTAAAAATGGGGTTGATAGGTAATACAAATAACTAAAGACCAGCGTTTGTTCAAGGTTAGACATGTTATTCTATCCGAATTCAATGTAGTATAGTTTGAAGAACTCGAGATTTCAGTTTCTAAAATATAGGCAACCGATAATGAATTCAGTTTTGATAATCATTGGTATAAACATATACAAGCCGCATCATCCTGGAGAGACTAAACAATGCGCTGGATTCAAGATTACGACCAGAACAGGCTGGCTGGCTTCAGGAGGAACAAATCATGTGGGGATCAAATCGCAACACTACACTACTCATCATCATAGAACAGAGTATAGAATGGCAGTCAACTCTCTACCTCAACTTCATCGATTTTGAAAAGGCTTTCGACAGCATCGACCGAGAAGTAGTTGTTTCAACACTACGGTCTTAGTGCCACAAACCTTTATCAACCTCATGCAACAGTTGTATGATGCTACATACCAGGTGACTCACAGTGGAGAACTCAGTGATGCCTTTCAAGTGAAGTGAAGACCGGAGTAAGACAAGGCTGCCACCTACTATCATCACCGATCATCTTCCTGATTGTGGTCGACTGGATCATGCAACAAACCGTGAGGAGCGGGAAGAGGGGCACACGCTAGCTGCACCAATGAAAAGACCCGAGAAGAAGATTTGGATTTTGCCGCCGATGAAATGTATTTAATGTCTTGTCACACAAACTCGAACATGTACAGGCGAAAAGCAACAAGTTGACAGAATAGGTGAGGATGAAAGATCGTTCAAGTGAACGTAGAGAAGACACAGGTGAAGATACACAAACAACAACAAGTACCAATCACCATTAAGGGGAGAAACCTAAAAGAAGTTGTCACTTTCACCTACCTCAGCAGGTAGCATCGTTTCAACTAAAGGCGCCGGTGGCATATATGAGGACGTCAAGGCCAGGATCAAGAAGACACCAAGACAGGCCTTCCCGCATTAACCTGAATCTCTGTGGAGATCTACTGTACTCTACTCCGCTCCACTCAGCATAAAGCGTGAACAACATCCGGATTTTCAGTCAAGTAAGTCAATGCTTCTATATGATGGTTGAGAACCTTGGTGCATCACGAAAAGCATCTCCAACAAACTACAGACATACGTCATCAACAGCTGCCGCCTATGCTCACTCACTCGATACTGAGTGTACAACTATGACTACTATTGAACAAGTTATGGATTTCTAGACTTTTTCTCGCATGAATTAATTTTTGAAACACTTGAGAGGTAAGAAATGCATGTATTGCGTATATTATGCTTGTTATGTGGTGATTTTATCTTGTATTTTACCAGTGATCGTCAAGCAAGTTTTGCAATATAGTGGTAAATAAATCTTCAGAATTAGTAGGATAGATGATATTCAGCACTACGTGGTTATGTTCACAGTTTCAACGAGCTGCCTTAACTGAAAGTATTTGTCCCAGCACGCACGGTCGGAAGACCACTGTGATGATGAGTTGCTTGCATGTACATGCGCCCCGCTAATCAACTCGGTTGATTGTTTCTAGCTCTCAAGTATGTATTCTGAGCTTGCTGATCAATTTTATGCACTCTTAGTTTCATTTTGATCAGTTACAAAATGAGCATAACGATTTGGTATCTCCATCTAATACGATTGCTTTTTCTACCACTTATCAGTACCGTTTTAATAAGTTACTAAATTATACTGGTACAGTATGCTTCTCGATACCATTCCCACTCTCATCCACCTTTCAATAGTTGTTGCAAATGAACAAAATTAGATCTTCAACAACCTCACCATTTAAATTTTGTTTTCTTGCTTTTGCATAACCAAAATATTTCAAGGCTACAAGATTTGTGTTATCTTTATCAGTTGTTTTCTGGGATTCGATGTCTAAGTGTTCGTCAAACGTAGGCAGATACATTTGAAGGGATCATAAATCTATGGTGACTTCCTTAAAAGCACCTAACGACTTGTTTTTGATTTCTGTAGTAAAGAGGTTTAACTGCAAGTCTCTTCATTATATCATTCTTCCGTAGCTGAATTTCTGAAGTTATAAACTATCAAGTGTTAGGATAACCAATCCTTAAGAAAAACTAACTTATAATATGTATATGTTATCATTGTAAGATTTAAACCTTATTTCCGCGCCATTTTCGCTCCATGCAGTGTTACCTACTCTTACCACTGTTTATGATACTGAAGGCTGATTAGTCCATTTAACGCTTTTAATATGCTATTTTGTTTTCCCTGACCAAGGCCAGGGTGTCAGCTAAATATCGTATTGGGAAGTCATTGTTCTATCCTTAATCGTATTGCATCTAAGTATAATATCGTTATACATACCGCAGATCATAACATCAAGAGTTACCATTGTTGAGCAGAAATATGTGAGATGGTACTTGCATAATAAAATTTAATCAATGTTAGAGTTAGTGTCAGGTAGAACTGCATTAGATAATGGAGAAAAAACTAGTGGCATAAGTTTTCCATGTACTATAAAGGCTACATTAGTGTAATTTGTCCTTACAGTGAGCTGCCTGAAAATGTAAAACCTTTACCCACTTTTTCTGAAAGACCTCTCAGAGACTAGATCTGAGGATGCATATAAAGATCAGCTCAATGGAAATTTATATCACTGTAATTGTATTGGTTGTAAGTGGCCAGTTACTTCATGTTTTCTCGGTAAATGAAGTCTATCGAACAGCACTTTTGCTGTGATACTAGATGCCATCTATACCCCTGTGCTGTAGGGAGGTTGATTTTAAGTCCGAAGAAAGTTAGGAGGTATGATTAGAATGAGATTACTGTCTTCCCAAAGAATGGGGACATGTGAATTGAAAAAATACCTTTACCTCTTTGAACTTGCGTTTCATGAGGTCACGCTGGGAGAGAATAGTTTTTAGAGTGAATTTGTGTTAATTGGTGCTCTTGGCTGTTGGATGACTATTTTTCCTGAGATTGGAGATTAGATTTATATTCACATATCTATTGATTAAACTTTTCTTTGGAATGTGAGTGTTCTAAATTGACAAGAAGCGCTGCTTGGGCTATGTTTCATTATTCATGGTATTTGACAGCAAACCGTATCTGCTACACTCAGGCAGCTGATGTCTGCTGAGGGTTTTGAAGTCCGATTGCCACCAGAAACCAATCAGGACACACGTGAGTATAGGTCCAATCTAAACAATTTTCGCAACAAAAAGCAGCCATCCATTGACCGAGTAACAATGAGCACAATTCGACTTTAAAAAGAAATCTGTTGTAGCGAAATTGAATCAAGTAAGAGGTTGAAGATGTCAACGTGGGATAATGATCTCTTCCTAATCTTACAACTGAACAGCGCTCAGTTAATAACTTGAATACAGCAGGGACAACGGTTGGTGCAGAGTGAAAGGGTCGCATTTTATTTCCCTGGCTTCTCGTCAGCTGGTTAGAACCTAGAAAATTTAAATATCGTATCGAAAAAAATGTGAACATGCCATTTTGCAGTTAGATGAAGTTGGCTAACAGAAAACATGATTTAATGAAGTATGTAAACATGTTAAGCGGTTTCAGTTATATATGTGACTCAGCAAAGACCAAGAAAATGATGTGAATATCAATTAAAAAATTTAGGTAGCAAGATTCGCAAGTCGTCTAGTTGATGGTGAATAGCAGACAAGTTGTATAATAATAAATTGGGTTGGACTCAGTTGGTAAGACAATTATCAAAATCTTGTACAAAGAGAAAAAAACGTTTAGTCAAAAGATGACGCCATCAAATATAAGAGGAAGAGTAAAATATTAAGTTACTAGGGCAAAGAAAGACTTATCACTGCCCCTTTTTGAACACACGAATCCAATCCCAGTCGTTTGATCGCTATGGTTTCAAGGAACTTCAGAAGGTTGGAATTACTTCGTTTGTTGTTTACCTTCAATGATTTTGAGGTATCCACTTTATGCCCGGTGTCCATGAGATGCTGAGTGACCACACTTCTGAAAGCGCTTGTTCTTATGATATTTAGGCTTTTTCGTAGGTGTCCAAAGGACTTAAGATGTGCTACTCTCTCTGTCCTTCCATTGTAACTGCCACTGCAGATGTACATACAATTAGAGGTAAATTGGAGAGGAAACCTGTCAAAGTTTAGCTGTATCAAGGAGTGTGGTTCACTGCAGATAGGGATGAACCTCGCTGTAAGATATGCTCTGTTCAGTGCTGCTTTCAGCCTTGTATTAATTTTCCCAGAGAAATCGTCGCTTTTGAAGATGAGTTTAATGAAAACAGACTTCTTGCTTAATGTAATTTGCTTTGATTAATTTTTTTTCAGATCTTCCATATTGAAATAATAAACTTCCCGGGCAACTGGTGTCTCACAG